ACCAAAAAAATAAAGGAATGGGATAGCTATAATTGGATAAATTCGGCATATGAAAACACCAAAATCAATGATTTTTTTCAGTGGCTGTGTGACCTGTGTCTGACACATTCATATGCAAATGACTAATCTGTGAAACAAACAGGGGCGGAGACAAACCACTGGAATGTTTGGAAACACTCATTGTGTGTCAGATAGCTACTGATAACACATCCTAACATTGCTTTGTCTTGAGTTTATCTTTGAAACTTATAGGCACACAGATTAAACCTGTGTTGTTGATTTTGGAAAACACTCCTGAGGCTGCCTTGCTTCCCTTCAGAAAATATACATTTTAACCAACTTACATGACATTCTATGTTATGTTGACTTTATCATATGAAAGTTTATAGTGCATTTCATCAATTAATAAATAAATGTGAAAATCGTAATTTTCAACACAAATAATAGTCTCGCTACCTTAAGTGTGCTGTTTTATGTATTCAGCGACAGACTAATTCATTTAAATTAATTATTTTATATTTTTAGCTGATGAAGGAACTCACGACACCTTAATAGAAGGCTTGAAATCCTTGATTAGACCAATGGTACGATGCCTGTTTGTTGGTAAGTCTGTAAACCTCGCAACTGTTGTTGTGTTCAGTAAACTTGATTCCAAGTCCATATCCCACTGTGGCTGGTTTGATCCCAGTTTGTATTCTGCTATGGTTAGGCCAGACTTTTATTATCCCTTGTTTTTGTGAACCCGCCGAATGAACAGGAGCCGAAAATGAAATAAAAATAAAATTTTATTTCAGCGTAATTTCTCGCGCTCGGTGACTTGTAAGCGCAAAAAAAAATATTGTTTTTATCTTCATTTTTTACCACCCGCCGCATAACAAATCCAAGTTGCATTTTTGTGAGAATATCATGATCAAAGTACCAAAGTCTTGCGTAGATGAAAAACAAGGTTATACATGGAATAAAATTTTATTTCATTTCTTCTCTCCGATCAACGATCTCACTTACAATTCTTTGAGAATCACACAAATCTAATGGAAAAAAAGAATTAATTTTTTTTTCGCCCTCCTAAAAAAAATTGCCTTTTAAAGACTCGAGAAACAAGGAATAAAAAAAGTCTGGCCTTACTCTACATTCCAGTATGATGTTGTGACTGCTCTATATTCCAGTTTGTATCCCAGCATGACTGCTTTTATTCCAGTCTCTTTGTCGTTCATTCATTCATTTGTTTGCTCATTTGCATGCTCACCCAGTCACTCACTGTTTGACTCCCGTGTGCAATGCACAGATTGGAAGTTTTTGTAGTTAGTGTGTCTGTATGCATGTGTTTGCCTGCCTGTTCCACTTATATCTCATGAACCATATGTTGGTTTTTGATTAAACTTTATATGCTCGTACATAGATGCTCTTGGCTAATGCTCAGATTTGATTAGGTTTTAATTTAAATGCATGCATATTAATTACCTAATTTGCATAATTATTACATTTTTGATGATATTTTAAGTACTAATCATTACTTTTCAGTAAAACTTGGTACATATAGACACGCTAGGACTATGAACCTGATTAGTTTTGGGGAAAATCTGTGCATATTGATTACCTAATTTGCCTAATGATTAGTCAATTTAAATGGTGTATTTGCTCTAATAGAAGCTAATGTGCTTACTTCATGCCTCCAATACCTTCAGCACCCGGGAGTTCTTTCTATGCTTTCTTTGATTTATTTTTGTGTTTGCAGGTTATTTACAGTTGGATACTGTGATGTTTATATGGGACCAGTACATCATTGGGCTGGATGTACCAGAGTATGACATTGTACCTGTTGTCACCGTAGTTACTCTAATGTTGCTAAGAGACCACATCCTAGATTGTGATATTGTAAGTATACTCACTACTAAAATTTTATAAAAGACCTTGGTGACCTGTGTCAGTGCTTGCAGGCCTTGGTGACCTGTGTCAGTGCTTGCAGGCCTTGGTGACCTGTGTCAGTGCTTGCAGGCCTTGGTGACCTGTGTCAGTGCTTGCAGGCCTTGGTGACCTGTGTCAGTGCTTGCAGGCCTTGGTGACCTGTGTCAGTGCTTGCAGGCCTTGGTGATATGTGTCAGTGCTTGCAGGCCTTGGTGACATGTGTCATTGCTTGCAGGCCTTGATGACAAGTGTCATTGCTTGCAGGCCTTGGTGACCTGTGTCAGTGCTTGCAGGCATTAGTGACATGTGATGAATCGGAGCTTGCAGGCTGTGGTGACATGTGTCAGAGCTTGCAGGCTGTGGTGACATGTGTCATGGCTTGTAGGCCTTGGTGACCTGTGTCAGTGCTTGTAGGCATTAGTGACATGTGATGAGTCAGAGCTTGCAGGCTGTGGTGACATGTGTCAGAGCTTGCAGGCCTTGGTGACATGTGATGAGTCAGAGCTTGCAGGCTGTAGTAACATGTGTCAGGGCTTGCAGGCTGTGGTGACATGTGTCAGAGCTTGCAGGCCTTGGTGACATGTGTCAGAGCTTGCAGGCCTTGGTGACATGTGTCAGTGCTTTCAGGCATTAGTGACATGTGATGAGTCACAGCTTGCAGGCTGTGGTGACATGTGTCAGAGCTTGCAGACCTTGGTGACATGTGATGAGTCAGAGCTTGCAGGCATTGGTGACATGTGTCATAGCTTGCAGGCCTTGGTGACATGTGTCATAGCTTGCAGGCCTTGGTGACATGTGTCATATCTTGCAGGCCTTGGTGACATGTGTCATAGCTTGCAGGTCTTAGTGACATGTGTCATAACTTGCAGGTCTTGGTGACATGTGTCATTGCTTGCAGGCCTTGGTGACATGTGTCATTGCTTGCAGGCCTTGGTGACATGTGTCATTGCTTGCAGGCCTTGGTGACATGTATCATTGCTTGCAGGCCTTGGTGACCTGTGTCATATCTTGCAGGCCTTGGTGACCTGTATCATATCTTGCAGGCCTTGGTGACCTGTGTCATATCTTGCAGGCCTTGGTGACCTGTGTCATATCTTGCAGGCCTTGGTGACCTGTGTCATATCTTGCAGGCCTTGGTGACATGTTATTGTGAGATGTAGACTTATAGCAACCTGTATGCAGTGACTTGTATATAATTTGAATATGTTTTCTTCCCTAACTACAGCCTGTTGGCATAGAGACTGTTCTAGCTGATCATGCCATTAAACTGAAGAAAGAGCAATACATGTATGAGGTAAGTCTGAATAAAAAGAGTTATTCGTATATGATTCAGATATGAGAATTTGGTGAAAAGTTTAGACGATGTTTCATGTTGTCAAGCATTTTAATATCTTTGGCAAATTAACTATTTAAATCATTGTATCAAATCATAAATCATGAGTATTGTATTAACAGATTAATAGAAATTTCTATAAAGACTTGTATGATTTATTAAATAAAGATAGAACCGATATGCCAATACTGGATCCAACACAGAGTAAGTCTGGAATTTGTTATCATCACTTAGTTACTGTGAAGTTATGATTTACTTTTTACTCTTGCATTTTCTCACCAGTCACTGTTTTAATCTTTAATTTTATCTGACTTTGTCAAAATTTGTCTATCACAAAATTAAAAGATGAAATTAATTATAATTTGTAAAAATATGTCTACTAAATATTATATTTCGTCAGGTCTTGGACTGCCAGGTCCTTGGACCCATTGGTCAAGTGAGAAATTACCTCGGAGAGAGAAAGCGCAAGACAGAAGGCAGGCAAGAGAGGAGAGAGAAGCTCAAAGACTCAGGTAAAGAATCCAATCAGTAAAAACACCAAAACATGTGTTTTTATGCGTCAGCAATGTCATGATTTAATAATGGTCAGGATTATAATTAGAAGGTTTTTGTGGATATATGTGTTAGGACGTCTATACTGGAAATAAATGTATTGTGTTATGTGCTTCACACTCTTATGCAGCTTGATTTATGGTAACATATATGTGTTGGTGTGTGTTCCACTTTATAGGACTGTTCAAGAACAACGAGAAGCTGATGAACAAAGGAGACAACAAGAGTTAATGGACAGAGTTGAGGAGGAGGAAAGATTTCAGAAACAGATGGAGGAAGATCGGAGAAGAATTGAAGAGGAGAGAATGTATTTGGAAGATCAGCTTGAGTTTGTGAGTACATGATATGATGGGACATGTGATATATCATATGAAGAATCATGTGATGGATCATGTGATGGATCATGTGATGGATCATGTGATATAGTAGACAAAAGATATAAGTGAATTTTGAAAGATTATTGAGTAGTTGAGTAGGTGCTAGTAGGCTTGGGTTGTACTGTAAAACCATTTATTTTCACTGGTACCTTGTATTTAAATTCACTATTTTGGTATTTTGAGCATAATCACTGTGATAATCACAAATTTACCAAGGAAACAATGAGTTCTATAGTTATTTTACATGACTGTTTATGTGGATTTAATTTAGTGGATTTTACCAAATATGCAAATAGCAAAATTAAAACCTTGTGAATAATTAATATATATATACTTATATCTGTTTACATTACCACAGGAGAAAAAAAGAAGACAAGACAGTGAGAGGAAAGCCAAGGAAGAGATTGATTTACTGAGAAAAGAAATAGAAGAACTCCGTAAAAATAGAGAGGTATGAAACCACATAAATTCTAGGTATTGTCAAGAATTGTTTGTTTGTAATTGCACTGCTCTTAATTATTGATAAATTATAAAAAGGAATATATAAATATGGGCATTTATGAACCTTGACATCTTTGACACTGACTGTTGTCTGCATAGCAATTGTTCATATAATTGGCAATGGTCAATACATGCTTTACTGAACCACAAATTACCCCATGTTCATGTTATAAACTGTGTATTCAATTCAAACGGATAGTAAAGGCTCGTAATAAACTACACATATTTTTTCAAATTGTCTTTACTGATTGTGTTTTTTTTTTTATAGAAACCACATGACCCCTGGCCTGAATATGGAAATACTCACTATAATCCTCCATCAAGAGATAGGTAAGATGGTTGTAAAACAACAGACTTAATTATTCGTATGATGTTGGGTTGTCAATGTCCTTATGCCCCATTTTGTCTTAGTGGCAGTCTATGCCAAGTTGTTTCACGACTAATGACATAATGTGATTATTTATTTAATGAAGTTGTTTGACTTGAACAAATGATGTATAAAAGATGTATTTGTTGTGGCATTGATATAATGTTGGAAGGGTTTTAGGCAATATACTTTCTTAAGGTTATCACATCAAGCCACTAAAACATCAATAATGTAGTCAAGGGTGAAAATATCTTTATGGTCTGCGCAGGTTGTGTGCATTTTATCTGTTTTACATGCTGAACAATTGTTGTTTGTTAAGTTATGACAAAGATCAAACAAATCAAATTGGAGAGAAAATCTTTCTGTTTCAGTAAACGCAGTCCCCCACCACCATCAGCAGCTACGCATGATACAAAAACGTGGGGAGCCCCAACAACAGCCGGTGGTTCCACAACAGAGACACCACCACCAGGAAGTGGACGAAGAAAACATGCAGAAACAGTCACTCTAAATTTACTGGAGAGAATCATGGATAGCGTAAACTATTGTAAGTTGTTTGTGTGAACAGTTTTATTCATGGTTAAAATTATTGTCATAACGTCACATGGACATCCAAACATGTATATTCATTTGGTACCACAAATCACTATCACATGAATTAAACGATACAGAAAGATTGTTTAAGCACACAGCTCACATTATAATTATTCTGTATTGACAGTGGGTCACAGTGAAGGAAGAGAGAAGGAAACTCTAGACAGTGAAAGTAAAACAAGTCTTAAACATTACAATAGAGCTTATGAAGAAGCACAGGTTAGTTCACATATATTAAAAATTGCATTTATTGTATGCTGGATTATTAAAAACTACTAAGTGCTCTACTAATAGAGCAAATATCGTATTGTTAGTTTTATTCTCCTGATTGCTTCCATATTGTGTGTTTTTGCTTTTATATCGTGGATAGACTGAATTCATTTGTACTCTAAGAAGACCTTGGCAAAAGTGCTATTTAGGTTGTCATGTGTTGACTCAGGAACACACAAAACATCAAAGAAACCAGAGAGCTTTCATGTTTGTGAAATACTTTATTTTAGCTGGGATTAATTTTCACTGAAAAAAATTGTGGATATTTTGTATGGAATTTATTATTTACTGATTTTTGGTTAGGTGATTGTAAAATACAGTAAAGTTCGTTATAGAAGCCACGGCTTCTATTGAAAAGAAAATGGCTGCTCTCCCCATGAAAAGTGGTGAAGTCCGGGTGCGGCTTCTATTGAAGCATTGTCTAAAATCTGCAAGCGTGCCTGCACGCGGA